TTCTTCTTCTCTTTCTTCTCCCTCCCTCGCGTTCTTCCTCCTCCTCTTCCCCGAGGTTTCTCAAAGATGAACAGCATTGATTATTCGGATCTTGATATCGGAATGACCTTTCAGTCTCGGTCTAATTGCTCTGCGCGGAGAACAAGGATTTGGGGACGTCTGAACAATGAAATTCGCTTCTCGTTTTCCTCTCATTTTTATCCATTTTCCTTGTTTCATATTTGTTTTCTTAAAAATCTTCTCTCTCTCTCTCGTCCTCTCCTCTCTCTTTCTCTATCTCTGTCTCTGTCTCTTCTCTTTCTCTTTCTCTCTCTCTTTCTCTTTCTCTCTCTCTTCTCTTCTCTCTCTTTCTTTCTCTCTTTCTTTCTCTCTCTTTCTCTTTCTCTTTCTCTTTCTCTCTCTTTCTCTTTCTCTTTCCCTTATCGTAAATATCACTCATTCTTCTTCATCCTTTAACCGTCTTAAAGAGTCACAGAGAGCAGTTTCAAGCAAAAAAAAAAAAAAAAGAAAAAAGAGAGAGAGAAAAAAAAAAGAAGAAGACGGACATGTTTAAGTGCCGAAGATTGAGTTAAAAATCGCTCTGTTTGTTGACCAAAGTTTGGCCTTTCTTCTCGATGAAGTTGCTGATAAAAGTATTTGTTGATTAAGTTGATCTGATTCTCTTGGTTTAGTTCAGTTTTGTTTTGTTTTTGTTGTTTACTGAAGCATGGTTGTTTTTAGAATCGTATTTGTAGTTTATTAAAGATTAGTTGATGACAGAGAGAATTACGTGTTTTTTGTTTGTCTGTTTGTTTCCTTTGAAAGTTTACTGTTTTTGTATTTATTTATTTCTTTGTTATTGTTATTATTATTATCTTTTTTCTTTCTTTTTTGGGAGGACGCTGAAATGATTTAAATGGTCGTTGTTGTTTTTGAGTTTCATTTTCTACATGACTTTTGTAAATCCAAAATATTGATGTAAATCTCTGCCTCCAGCTCCTCTTCTGGTCTGTAGCAGCTCTCCATTTCTGTCTTTTTCTCTTTCCGTCTTATTTGCTTTTCCTCTCCGCTTCCTCTTTTGTTGCCTCTCTTCCTCTTTCTCTCTTCCTTCTTCCGGCAAATTTCTCCTTTGTTTTCTCCTCCTTCAGAGACTGTGATTTCCTTTCCCTCTTTTCCTTCTCTTCCCTTTTCTTTCTCCTCCTCTTCTGCTTCTCTCCCTTCTTCCTTTTTCTACTCTTCTCTCTTCCTCCTCTTCTCCCCCACTTTTCTTCCCTTCTCTTGCCCCCCTTCCTCCTCCCCTTCCTCCTCCTCCTCTTCCCCTTCCTCCTCCTCTTCTTCCTCCCCTTCCTCCTCCCCTTCCTCCTCCCCTTCCTCCTCCCCTTCCTCCTCCCCTTCCTCCTCCCCTTCCTCCTCCCCTTCCTCCTCCCCTTCCTCCTCCCCTTCCTCCTCCTCTTCTTCCCCTTCCTCCTCCCCTTCCTCCTCCCCTTCCTCCTCCCCTTCCTCCTCCTCTTCTTCCCCTTCCTCCTCCCCTTCCTCCTCCCCTTCCTCCTCCCCTTCCTCCTCCTCTTCTTCCCCTTCCTCCTCCTCTTCTTCCTCCCCTTCCTCTTCCCCTTCCTCCTCCTCTTCCTCGTCCCCTTCCTCCTCCTCCTCTTCCCCTTCCTCCTCCTCTTCTTCCTCCCCTTCCTCCCCCTCTTCCTCCTCCTCTTCCTCCTCCCCTTCCTCCTCTTTTCACTCCTCCTCTTCCTCCTCCCCTTCCTCCTCTATCTCCTCCCCTTCCTCCTCCTCTTCCTCCTCCCCTTCCCCCCCTTCCCCCCTACCAATCCGCGCACGTCTTCCCTTTGTCGCCTCAAATAGCTTCGTCTCCATAATTAGACATCTCCGTCAGACAGGAGATTAGCCATCAGCGAGACGTCGCAGGAGCTGGTTAGCTGTTAGTTGTTAGTCCGTTGTTAGGCTGCGGGGAGTGAGCTGGATAGTCAATGGTTGGCTGTTGGATAGTTGTTAGTCAGGAGTTTTGTTGTTTGTAATTTTTTTTTTTTTTAGTCAAGATTTTATGGTGTTAGTCAAGTATTTTTTGTTGGGAGTTGCCTAGTGCTTCTTCTATCAGTGGGTCGTTAGGAGAGGGAGCGAGAAAGCCGTTGAGAACACGCTTTCTAGTTTCTTTTTGAATTAGGTATTTTCGGTGCTTTTTTATTACTTTTATTATTATTATCATTATAATTCATATTACATTTTTTTTTTTTTTTCTGTTGATTTTTTTCTTTCTTTTTGAGAAATTAAGGCTATGGGTTTCTTCGTTTGCTTCTCTCTCTCTTATTCTGTGTATGTGTGTGTGTGTGAGAGAGAGAGAGAGAGAGAGAGAGAGAGAGAGAGAGAGAGAGAGAGAGCGTGAGAGAGAGCGTGAGAGAGAGCGTGAGAGAGAGCGTGAGAGAGAGAGAGAGAGAGAGAGAGAGAGAGAGAGAGGGGAGAGAGAGAGAGAGAGAGAGAGAGAGAGAAAGAGAGAGAGAGAGAGAGGATGTGAACATTCAGAACCAGCATTCCCCCCCGACCCCAAACCAGGGCGCTTTCACTCGCCATTGAAACCGAAGAAGCCAGGCTCATTTTCAGGTCTTCCGTGGCAGTAAAATTCACGCACATGAATACACACATACTGTACACACG